TGCTTTCCTCAGCCTCGCTGGCTGTTTTGGACCAGCACCTTAACCATAATGGTCATCCTTCACTGAACTCCTAGTTTGTTCGTGCTTCTGCCGTAGTGGGCTCTAGGTGGGACACAGTACTTTAGATGCAGGTTCACAAGAGCAGAATGAAGGGGAACATCCATGTCCCTCAGCTTCCTACTGCGTTTTTCCTAAAGTAGTTTAGTGTAGAGCCTGGTCCTGCAAGGCAAACAGCTGACTCATGTTCAGCCTGCTGTCTAACCAGATGCCAAGGCTTTTTCTGCAAAACTTCAGCTTAGTCCATGTATCCCCAGTCTGGATCAATGGATAGGGTTATCCATGTCAGGTGCAAGAATTTCCATTTGTAATCACTGAACCTCATAGTGTTCTTGCCAGCACGTTTCTCCAGCGTGCTGAGATCCTTCTGAAAGGCATTCCTGAAGCATGTGGATGGATTGTGTGGATTGTTAATAAAAATATTTAGCAGTATTGACTCCAGCATTACCCCCGGGGAGCACAGAAAGTAAGCAACCACCAGTTGTACTTGGAATTGCTGCCTATTTTGCTCAAGTCTCTTGGATACTCCAGATATCTACTGATTTTGTAAACCATTATATCTCAGCAGTTTGGCTGCAAGTATTCTATGGATCACTGTCAAAAATCAGCAGATACCTCTGCTGCTTTTGCCTCATCCACCAAGATAGTTATCTCATCATAGCAGACTCTCAGGATGATCCACGGCAATTTGCTCTTAGTAAATCTATTCTGGATGTTCCCAGTCACCCTCTTGTCTCATCTGCCTGGGTATTGCTTCCAAGGAGGATTTACCCCTTAATTTTACCACGGGCTGAGGTTAGGCTGACTAGTCTGCACCTGCCCAAATCCTCCTCACCTTGCTTGTAGATGGCCTTGACATGTGGTATAGGAATGCCATAACAAGGTGGCTACCATCTCTTACACCTCAGCTCTGCTCTTTGACTGATGCGTGAAAAAAAGCGTAAAATGTTCAGATACGGCAGTGTTAGGACCATGTGTGAATTTGGAACTGATGAAGTGTTAAAAGCAACCCTAACAGACCTCCTGTCTTAAAATTAATTTAACCAGCAGCACAGGTTTTCTCCTCAATCTTTAAGGCCTGTCTTTTTCTGAATAAAACATGGTATTACCTGCAGTCTGTGTTTTCAGTGCTTACCTCTGATTAAGATCAACATTTCATGATAAACACATGCCAAAAAAAAATCGAGCTATGTGAAATGAGGTTGGTATTAAGCATAGGATTTAAGGGGAAGGAGGGGCAAACATTGGACCCCAAGTAGCCAGCTTGGTGCTCCAATGCATCTCTTTATGTCTGCCTTACCTTTAAGTTAAATCTCTGATCCAGACATTCTGTAATAATACTTGGAAGTTATTTGCATACAGTCTAAAGAACCTTTTAGTTCTAGTTTTAAATTAAGGACTCCAGTGGTTTCAGTCCTTGATAAGTAAAGCAGCTGGATTTCACACCAATCACACCAAGGCTCGGTTACATTTAAGTCACAGCAGTGAAGTGATGCATGAAACTGACTGTATTGTAAAATCTCATTGTTATATGGATGAGGAAATGAACTGGCTCCAGACAGTAAAACAATCCCAAGACAGGGAAAAATGCATATTGAAGCTTTCAGAGAAAGAGTTGTTCAGAATAAAATGTATTCTTTTGTTAGGGGGCAATAAAGCGTTATCTAAAGCTAATTAGGCAATGGGAATTGTTCTTGTGTGTCAGTATGATGCAACCAGAGTACGGTATACGTTGTTCACAGAGTATGCATGCTCACCTTATCCCACCAAGCACCGGAGTTCTGTACAGCAGAGTAAAAAAGCATGTAGGTGTAGATATTTACCTCCAAATGAATTTTAATAGAGAATGACTTGTGTATGTCCTAAGCTGTTTATTTAGGCTTTTCTTCTCTACTTGGAGTTATTTATTTTCATGTTTTCAACATCACTAAAATAAGACCTTTCTGTTACTGTATTTGTCCATTTTAAGCTGGACTCTGATACCTAAAATACAGCAAAGTGCAGAGAATTCAGACTTTAACTGATAACTCAGGGATTTAGTGGTCCCAAAAACTGATAATAATCAGGATCAGAATGCCTTGAGTAGATAATAAAAGGAGAATTCATGCAATTTTGCATTGGAAATTTTCCCATAAGTTTTCAAATACAGAAAAAATACACTGAATAAAATGCATATTGCTACTGCTTGATTTCAGAGTACCTGAAGAGTGTACCCAGAGAAAGTTTTGAGCCCTCGTTGAAAGCTGCTTATTCCTTCATACTGCATAGAGAAAGAAAATTATGCTAATTATTGCCTCCTATGCTTCAAGCAAATCAACAGCTCCCCACAGTCCTGAGTCAGCTACAGCCTAAGAGATGCAGCAAAGACTTCTGAAAGTCATCAAAATAGGCATTTGAAGGCAGTGAGCAAAACCTTCCTTCCAGTAAAAGCCCTTTGCCAGGTTAACCCTTGCCATTTAAATTGAGCAGTTAAGTATTAAGCCTAGAAGTGTAACACAGTGATGGATATAGTATGCTCACTGCAGGAAAGCCCCCCCATGCAGGTCCTTTACGTGCCAGTGCTTTGCCTCTCTGCCAGTCTCATTACAAGGACTCAATTCTGTTTTGATAATACAGCAGTGCTAATAGGCATTAGCTCAGTGCAGGAAGGAGGAGCGTTGAGCCTGAGGGGAAGTGTCATCTGTGATAGAGTAAAATTTATTCAGTCCCCCAACTGTCTTCTGGACACAGATGTCTGTTCATGGGCCCTCTTTACTGACCAGTTTGTTGCTGGAAGCCTTGTTTCCTATGTTACCTCAGCTAAGTCTAAATTAAGCCTTTGAGCATTTTATTCTAACTCTATCAGTACTATCAGCAAATGCCATCAATAGTCCATGGTCAGCCTGGACTGTCCAATAGGAGTCTGCTCATATTAGTATCCATCCCCCTGTAGTGTTAAAGTGTGGGTAATCGAGGCTTTTCCCTCAAGAAAACTCATTAATCGTAAAGACAGAAATTTTTGAGCTCTCTTCTTCCTTTGGGAGATTTTTCCTTCACATCAGTTGGCTGAAATGAATAGTAGCCAGGTAATGCTTTGTTTTACCAGTTAGCAAAGCTGGTGGCAAATGTCCTGGTGAAAACGTTTAGAGGAGTGGGAAACACTTCCCTGTGAAGAGAATTATCCTGAGAGCTTGCAGTGAGAAGAGGTGGCTTTGGAGAATGACAGTGGAGAAAAAAATGCCATCTGTTAAAACAAAGAAATCAATATTCCCTGGACTTGGAAGTCCTGGCTAAGGACATTCACAGTGTATTTTTCTCCCCCTGCATGAGGATACCACCAGCCCCATTGATTTTGTGCTTATACCAGGAGAATGATCTATACCTCTTTTGGAGAAACGCTGACTCTCTGGAGAGAACCACTGAGATTTCATGGTGACATGTATCACAATTGCTATAAAATCACAATTTATCTGCTGAATTCCCATTGACTGTGATATCACATTCACTTTCCTGGCAAGGTGTTATGATTTTCTACAGTAGCACACCTGACATTTATGTACCCTTGCCTCTTGCTTATCTGCCTTGTGAATATCTCCAGGTCAGAATGTAAAGGTGTATGATATTTACAAATCACAGCTTTTTCCACTATTTACTTTGTCATGTTGACAAGGGCTGAGTCACAGAAGGTATGAAGTGTCTTTGTTGTAAGTTTTCACATATTTTTGTTAAAGCACAAGCATAAGTGCTCTCAGGACCAGAGATGATGTTGACCTATTAAACATGCCCATGAAAATCCAGTATGTTCACAAAAACTATACTATTATCTCAGTTCTCATTTGAGCCATCCCTCTTTTTCTGTTGATGTTTCTGTTAGTGAATACTGTTTGGAGTCGAACTCAAAGCAAGTTCACATGTCCTCCAGTCCTCAATGACTTACTGAGCTTTTGAACACTTAGTTGGTGGATGGAATCCTAAGGAAAGAAGAAAGCAGAAAAGGAAGGAAAAAAAAATAAAAAAACTTCAATAGAAATAGAACTCATTAAATTTGTTGCTTTTGTCTGTGTTACAACTGTGGAATATGTATTTATAGAAGGGGTTTTTTGTTTTGTTTTAGCTTTATGAGGAAAAGCTAAAAACAGCACCTAAAGTCACAGTTGATAGTCTATAAGTTATTTTTATGGCTGGCTTTACTGTTTGTTTACATGACAGATCTCACAGAAATACCAGGCACTCAAACATCAACCAACTACGGGTATTCAGTGAACCTCATTAGTTTTAATTGTATTTATTTTTATGCCTATTATAGTAACATTTACCAGCTGAAATTAATATTGCTTAGATTGGTTTCTCCATCTAAAAGTGAGTTATCTAAACTCTATCCATAAACAATACAGACAGGCAACTTGAGAAAGCAAGTCATACAGCCTGTCCTAAATGCTCTTGTGAGGAAGGGATGAATCACTCCCCAGTTTCTCTACTGACCACAGGAAGGGTCTTGTTTAAAGTGTTTGCCTTTTCTATGCCTGCAGTTAGCAAAAGAAGTTATGCCCACTGTAATAAAATAGATCTTATCATCTATGTAAGTAAGATATAAAGAGAGAAGGGAAGAGAGCAGCAGAGGTGGAATCTCTTGCCCAGGGATCCAGCAGATCAGTGATAAAGCAAATAAAATAACTAGTCTTCAGCTTCCAGGCCAATATTTTACTGCAAGCCTTCCCTTCACCTTTATAGTTGTTTGAGCCCTGCTATGGGAATCAGTGGGAGCAGGATGACTTCCTGGATGGCCACGTGTAATGATTTAAAATTGGTAGATTTATGTTTATCTGTTCAGAAATCACTGCTACACTTCACCTATTTTTCAAACAATGTCCCATAACTTTATGTTATCGACTACCTAGGAAGCACTATAAACCAGAGGAATGTCCCACTCCAACCTCACTAATTAAACTTCTTTTGCATTGCAGTTGACCTGGACAGATTGAATGATGACGTGAAACGTTACAGCTGCACCCCGAGAAACTACTCTGTCAATTTAAGGGAGGAACTGAAGCTGACAAATGTAGTTTTCTTCCCCCGCTGCCTCCTTGTCCAGCGCTGTGGAGGAAACTGTGGCTGTGGGACTCCGAACTGGAAATCTTGCATGTGCATGTCAGGGAAAACAGTGAAAAAATATCATGAGGTAATTTCAATTCTTTCTCTGTTACTTCTTTTGGGTATTTATTGCTTCCATGGATTCTGAAGTCTTCTCTTCGAGCCATGTGTGCTGCTTGTTAATTGACTATCATGTTAATATTGATCCATGCTATATTATATTTTCTTTATCATTATGCTATATCATGGTATGTTAACATGCTTATATTGATTATCATGTTGCATCTGCAGCGCAGAAATCAGTGGGCAAAAATCACTGACACAGCAAAGGGTCATAGGCGAAGATGCCATCATTTCAAAGACACCAGAGTATTTGAGTGAATGCCTTCTGTGGTTACCACTCCTCCTGAGATGAATGATCTGCTTAGGCTTCCAGACAGGTTCAGGTAGTCTTAAAGTGGAAAATAGACATAGATAACAGCATCTTTGTTGCTGTCCATGCAAGATACCAACTTGGTACCTCACGGAGCAGCATTTGTACCTTCCACGGCAGTAAGGCATGAAGAGAGAGATACGCATACTCAGAGTCAAGGTTCAGGAAGGCCCCATTTTAAATGTTTAATATTGAAGTCTTTAATGCCACAGCATCACCTAGTGATATGCCTTTGGAAGTGATGAATGAACAGAGTTCATTCAACAGGAAGGAGGTTATGCATGTGTGAGAAAGGGGTGTTAGCAGGTGTTTATGGGTAAGTTAATTTAGAAGCAGTTAAAGAGAACTTTTGCTACCTCTGAGTGGATGCTACCACAGCATCCTAGTGAATTTTGTTGCAAGAATGAGGCTCATATTGGACTGATTTTTCCCATCAAAGGACTGATACAAAGTGAATGTATATACCTCTGGAAATACTCTTTTAGTAACACAGAGATACGTGTTCCTTGAGACATTCGACTGCACTTCCTCTTGCTTTAAACTTATGCACACATTTGGAAATTACAAGTAAGTACCTTGCAAACTCTCTTCCCTTCCAGATTTATTACCTGTAGGAAGCAGCTGAATCATCCAGCCTTAGTTTTTTTCCAACTCAGCAATTTTTTTAGAAAGGCAAAATTTTTGCACAGGAACAATGTCCACTTATGTTTATTTTTAATCTGTTCAGAACACATTTAGAGAAGGAAAACACAAGGAAAGAGTGTTTTTTATTCTTGTCTCTAAATTGGTATTTTCAGATCAAAATGTGATCAATGTTCACCAAAGTGAACATATCTAGGAAAGTTACTTGGTAGCAGACTTTCCACTGTCTGAACATAGGCAAGCTGCATGCCATACTGACTTAATTTCTGACGCATATCTCTTGTTAAGAGCCTGATTTACCACTTGGCTTAAGTCCCAAGTGAAAATAAACTTTATGGACTTCAAACCTGGATGTGATGTGGACTCATAACATTAAGGCATTATCTTGAGAGACCCAGGGCTGCAATAGCAAAGGGTCATTGAAGGTCAGACCTTTGCTGCACTGTGAGCAATGTGGTTACTCTAATTGTGAGGTATTTTCTTACAATTAACTGTGGCATACAGAATACTCCACATCAGCTAGGACTAGAGAATAGTTAATATTTTCTCTAATTTTAAACAAGATGCAGGGGATGACCCTGGTAGTTACAGAGCAGAAAGCCTTATCTCAATGCTGGAAAAGTTAATTGGAAAAAAATTAATAGGTTTAAGACACCTAGATGACTATGAGCTGATAAAATGAGCTTGGAATGCCTTATATATGAATAAATATTTATACAGCACTACAACAAGAATGCTGAAAGGCCTGGAAACTCCTTCAGTGAGCGAACAGTCAACCAGACAAGATCAGACATGGATTAGAAACTGGTTAAAAGATAAAGAGCAAAGAGGTGGAAGAGATGAGCAATTTTCTAAATAGGAAATGGCTATCTGAGGTGCCCCCAGCACACAGACTAAGTGTTATTTCATGTATGATCAATCAGAATGGAGGTGAACAGAAAGATGGCAAAAATGACAGCTAGCACAGGAGATAACACTGTAACAGCAGAGAAAGCTGTGAGGAATTTCAGAAGGCCTGTGTACCTGCTTGTAAATGCAGGTTATAAAAGCAGCAAGCATTAGGACAAATGGTCTAAACTATCTATTCATATAACACTGGGTGTGTGAAGGGAGGAGGAAGAAATGAGGGGTAGAAGTTATGCTAAAAGTTGAGTAGTGAGTCACTGTGAAGACCTTCAGGAAAACCGCTCTTTAGTGCAGTGACAGGAAAAAGACAAGTGGCAGTCCTCTGCAGGAATGGAGATGACGGGGTAATAACACAGCAAATATTGTGGCCTGGATACATTGGTGGGGTACTTATACTGGGTTTTGACCATTGGTGCATATAATGGTACAGACAGGACAAGAAAAGTTATATAGAAGCAGTAAACATTCATCAAGAGAGATATAGAGGAAGATATAGATCAAAGACATTTGTAAGGAAAATGGTTCAAAAGTTTTGGATAATATAATTTAGAAACAAAACTCAGAATAAGAGAGGACACAGTGAAAGATAGAAAACAGTAAATACTAGCTAAAGGAAAATCAGATCTTCCTAAATAATCTTTTTCTTAAGAAAAAAAACGAGCGATTGAAAGGAAACTAACTTAAAATGGAAAAAAGACATGGTATTTTTTTCACAGTAAATCTTTATGGAATTTCAATACTTAAATATGAGCTGTGCATAATTCAGAAGGGTTCTGAAAGAACTAGAAGTAAAATACAAACTAAGGAATCCTGGGCTACACCTGTATCAGAATTTAAGCCACCTGTTGACAGCAGCTAGAAGAAAAATGCTGATTAAAGACATCTTATCAAACACTTGTTATCAGGTGTTTGGAAGCTGCTGGTGCTGGGACACCAGAATATCACACTAGCCAGGAACTGCTCAGAACCAGGATGTTATGACTTATGACCACGCCAAACTAATCACTAAATTCAGGAAATTCAACATTCACACTAATACATCACTGCTAATTTATTTCCCTACTCCTTTTTTTCTCTGAAAACTGTATGAATTTGAGACAGTGTTTCATCTTTAACATTAAATGGCCTTTGTAAGTTTAAATTTAAACTTTATCCCTTAGGAACGAATTAGCAGCTCACTGGGCAGAAATTTAGCCAAGTGTCTCCCATTAATGTGAGTGGAAGTCATGCAGATTAATTCGTGTATCACACACTAAAGATGTGTCCGTTAATTTTAGTCCAAAATGTTTTCCACTCTATTATTATTATTAGGCATGCATAGTTAATCAGTTTTATTCTTATTATCCTTTGACACTTAACTATAATTTTACTAAATGTCTGGCAGTAAAGGCACTGAGGAGAGGCTTCTCAGCATGCCAGTTTTAGAACCATGGAAGCAGTTGCATAACGAGGGACAGAGCTTCACACTTTATGAAATTCCTAGCACTGTTAATTTGATTAAAAACCTCTGCCTACTGCTGCAAGAGAACAAAGGCCAGAAGACACCAGAAGGAAGTATTAGGTAGTGGAGCAAAGCAGGTGTTGGTAGTAGCTGAAACTGAGTCCTGCAGATCCCAGATCCCTTCTCTTGCCTGGCTGATTTTCCCTAACCACTATTCTGGGGCTTCATCTACTGAGCTCCTGAACCCGTAAGAGTTGTTTGTCCTGCACATGAATATGCTTGTCCTCAAAAGTAAAAACGTGTCTGGAGATCACTTAAAAGTTGAGCGGAATTTCTGAGCTACCCAGCATTTCTGAGTGAGAAGGACAGGCAGGCAAATTTTCCAGAAGGGATGGGCTCCTTTTTGGCTGTGTAGCCAGTATTGCATGCTGGCAGCTGTGAGGACTGTCCAGTGCTTGTTGACAGAGAGGCTTCTAGTGCAGAGAGATTCCAAAGTTATATTCTCCCTATGCTTTTAATGTTTTTTAGTTCCCCCTTAGTTCCTGTTCAAAGCCTCACACTGTACTCATCACCGAGCACTTCCTCCCAGCCTCGCCTCTCAGGACTAATAGCTATCACATGTAGCCTTCAATTTCCCCAAGCTAAGAGTGCTGCTCCAGTTCCCTGGATGGAACATACAGATCTTTTCTATCATGTCCAATTGTAAGAAGTGATGGAACAGCAGGGAAAATGAGAACATGAGAATGCCACAGTAACGGGTAGCTTTTTTTGACTGCCCTGGGAAATGTTAATCATGAGATCTTGAGTCTTTTTTATAGCCTGGAAGTTTGCCATGACTTTACCAAAATACTCTTGTTTCCAGAAATAAAGAGGTTCATAACGTGGGTAAACAGATAGTTTTATAGGTGGTGGGGGGGGGGGGGGGGGGGGGGGGGTTGGGTGCTTGTTTTGTTTTGTTTTGCAGGAGTCTTGGGATGCTCTGTGGTTTTCCATGGCTTCTGGGTTTGCTTGAGACCAGAGAAAATACTCTGGATGAAGACTCGTGACTTACCACACAGTGTCACAGACCGTTCAAACCAAACAAGCCAAGACCTGGCGTTGTCTCTAAATGTCTCCTGGGCACAGTCTGCCATAAGTGATATTGAATTATGTTGTAGGGTTCCCTGCAAGTGAAAGACAAAGCAACACAGGGAAATGGATGCAGCACACCTTAATCAAATGCTCAGGTCTACTGCTTAATCAAATGCTCAGGTCTTAACTTTCTAAAGGAGACTTGAAATGAAAGCATGTTTTTCATTGCAGCACATTTCTTTGGAAGTGCCTGGAGCTGCTCTTTAAAGAGAGGTGGGCTCTAAACCTGAAGATCACTCAGCCCAGAGGAGGTGTGGGGGAACTCAGGCCAGAACTCAGTTCAGCTGCAGCTACAGCTGTCTTATTCAGCCAGCATGCATATACCTCAGAGAAACAAGAAATCGGTTTCCCCATCTCGTTGCTGTAACTGATGAGATGTGAAATGAGTTTCCGTAGGGAATAAGTGCTCTTAAGGTAGCAACCAGAATTTGTCAGAGTGCATAAACCTCTACAAACACAGTGCTGAGCAACACAGCTAAAAAGCATATAAGGAAAAAAGCAAAGTAGTGAAAGCTGATAGCATCTTTTATCTACT